TATATATGGATTTGTGATAGGGGGAGCATTGACTTAGGTGGAGAGAATGACAGTATTTTAATTGCTATGGGCAATATAGTGTACAAAGGCTGGAGCAAGCAAGGTAAGATTCATACCAATGCTTAGATGGGCAGAGAAGAGTAACTTTCATTGGGATAAAGTTATAGAATGGATGGTTTACATTTAAATAGAGTAGGGGCTGGTTTGTTTGGTATGGCTATTAACTCAGCTGTAAGGGAAGTTTTAAACTAGGACTAGACAGTGGTGAGGGCCAGGAAAACTAAATGCAAAAAGAATAAGAAGCAGAGAAACTTTAGCATAGGAAATGAGTATAAAAGTAGTTATAAGGATAGGCTTAATTGTTACTATTTAACTGCTACAAGTATAAGAAATAAAATAGATGACTTTAGAGCACTGGTAGGGAAGGAGGATTTTGATATGATGAGAATAACTGAAACATGGTTAAATATAGATGATTTTGATGACAGAAATTACTTTGAAATGCAGGGTAACAGGTTATTTATTAGGGATAGAGTACTAAAGTACATATACTTTATATGTAAAACGTGAGTTACATTCTGTTGATGTTGATGATATAAAAGATAATAGTAAAGAGATTGAATCCATTTGGGTTTCGATTAGTGGATATAAAGGGAAAAGGCTTTTAGTGGTAAATTGTTACAGACCACTAAATGATACTGATGAAATTAGTGAGAAACTTTACAATGAGATCAAGATTTTAGTTGTTAATTAACTCATAATTATGGGTGATTTTAATTTCAGGCATATAGATTGGGAAATTCTAGAATCAAACCATGAGGGAGAAAGTTTTTGGAAACTGTTCAGGATGGCTTTCTTCACCAGTTAGTCAAGGAACCAACTAGAAACATCTGGGTGCAAGTGATCATTGCTCTATTAGGTTCAATGTTTTGCTGCATATGGGGATAAGGAATAATGATATTTTGGCTACAAATTTCAAAAAAGCAAATTTTGATAGGATGCAACAAGAATTATCTGTTGTGAATTGGGCAGCTGAGTTATTTGGAAACACTGATCAGATGTGGAAAATTTTTAAAGATGAATTTTTGAATATTCAAGGTAAACATATTCCTTATAGAAAGAAAAGGGTAGCTACAAGTAAAAAACCAGGTAGGATCACAAAGAGTTTAAGAGATCTAAAGAAAAGCATCATAAATTTAAGAAATTTAAATTGACTGGTATGACAGGAGACTTAGAAGATTATAGAAGATCAAGAAAGTTGGAGAAACAGAAAATGAGGACATGAAAAAGGATGTAGGAGAAAAGGTTGGCTGAAAATGTAAAAATTAACAGTAAGGATTTCTTTAAATACATTAAGGGTAAACAAAATATTAGGATGGGGGTAGGACCCTTGAGGGATGATAAAGGAAGGCTAGTATCTGATGATTATGAGATGGCTGGGTTATTAAATTTTACTTTTTCTTCAGGTTTTAGTAAAGAAGATTTAAGCAGTATTCCACATCTTGAACAATTGATAAATGGAAATGAGATCAACCAAGATGACTGCACTAAATCTGAGCTAGTGAATAAAAAAATAGGGAAGTTTAAAAAATGATAAGGCTCCTGAGCCAGATAATATTTCCCCAAGGGTTTTGAAGGAAGTTAAAGAGTAGATATGTGAGCCACATACTACTATTTTTTGTCAGTTCTTAAATAGTGTGCAGGTGCCAGAGGATTGGAAGTTAGCTAATGTAACTCCTCTTTTCAAGGGAGCTGATAAAAACTGTTGCAATAATTATAGACCCATTAGTCTTACAAAAGTTGTAGGAAAAGGTTTGGAAAGTCTGCTAAACAATGCTTTGAAAAGTCATTTAACAAAGTTTAGAATTTTATTGGATAGTAACATGGTTTCATTAAGGGAAAATCTTGCCTTACAAATCTTTTGACATTCTTTGAAAATGTTACTGCTTATGTAGATGAAGGTAAGAGTGTAGATTTGGTGTATTTGGATTTTCAGAAAACGTTTGATAAGGTGTCACATAAAAAAAAGAAAATTATATCTACATGTGTGGGATAAGTTAACAAATTGTATAAAAGAGTGGCTGGATGGAAGAAAGCAGAGGGTTGTTACAAATGCAGTTCAATCAAACTGGATTAATGTCACAAGTGGGATACTTCAGGGCTCAGTCTTAAGACCTTTGGTCATTATGATTTACATCAATGACATAGATTACTTACATTTGCAGATGATATTAAGGTCTTGGGTGTTGCTAGGTGCTAAGAGGATGCTGTGGATTTACAACAGGATTTAGTTGGGCAAATAAATGGCAGATGAGTTTCAATTATAATAAATGCAAGATAGTACATGTGGGTTATAGTTTGAATTTTAAGTATAATTTGGATGAGGATAACCTTAATAGTGTTATGAAGGAAAGGGATATTGGTGTAATAGTTGATCAGTCTCTAAAGCCATCCAAGCAGTGTGTTATTGCTAGTTGTAGAGCAAATAGGATTTTAGGTCATATCTATACAAACATTGAATAAAAGTCTAAAGAGGTTATAATTTCATTCAACAAGTCACTGGTTAGGCCATATTTGGAATATTGTGTTCATTCTTGGGCTCCTTACCTCAGGAAAGACATTGAATTGTTGGAAAGGGTTCAGAGAATGGTTACTAGAATGGTGAGTTAGGGGGGATCTGATTGAGGTGTTTAAGATTGTAAAGGGAATTAATTGATAGTGTTGATGCATCATGTTATTTCATATTTAAAAGTGAGAATAGTAGAACTAGGGGACACAAATATAAATTTTGGCAATGTAGGAGTCATCTTGAGCTAAAAGTTTCATTTTTCTAACAGAATGGTTGGCCTTTGGAATGGGTTTTTTTCGGATGTTGTAGAGGCAGTAAATTTAAGTGAGTTTAATAAAAAGCTTGATAAGTATATGAATGATAAGGGCTGGATTTAAGATTATTATTATTTTTTTAATTATTTTAATTTAGTTTAGAGGATGGAACAGCCAAGATGGACCAATAGGTCTCATGTTGTCCCAAAACATTGTAATATCATAGTGTGAGGAGAGGTAAGTATTAACAGAAATACAAAATGATAACTTTCTCACCTCCATTATTTCTCATCTTAAACTTTTAGTTACCTAGGCAACTGCTTTATATCAAGGCTATTTTAAGATTTCTTCCTTTCAGTAATACTGATTTCCACAGGGGTCTTACCCCACAGGTTGGTAAACATTGGTTTCAACAGTTCGTAATGATGTATTTTATGCACTTTCCCCAACACCTTTAATCTGCTAAATATGTCCTACTCTAGCAGGCATTCAGTACCTCCACTGCTGTGTGTGCGCTGTAAAATTGTTCAACACTATCAACATTGCTGTCTCTTCCTTACCTTGAAGGTGAACAACTAAGCCTTAAAGTAGGACATTGAATTGTTGTAAATTGTTTGGAGGAGGGTGATACCTAGAATGGAAAAGTTGTCATACAAGGACAGGTTAAGAACAAAGATATTGTTTTCTCTTGGAAAAAATAATTGTTACTAGAATTGTTAGTGTCACGGCATCTTTTTTTTTTTTTCATACTTAATGATGAAAATGGGATAAGGGGACACAAGCATATTAAATTTTTGGCAGGATAGGAGTCATATTCAGTTAAGGTGGCTTTATTTTTCTGATAGGATGGTTGACCTTTGGAATGGGTTGCCTTCAGATGGGGTGGATGCAGGAGATTTAAGAGACTTTAAGAGAGGCTTGATAAATATTTAAGTATTAAGGATTGGCTTTGAGGATTTTTTTTTAAGTTTTTGTTTAGTTGATTGAACAGCCACAATGGAAAATAATGCCTCTTGTTATCCTTAAATATAATTTTTTACTAAAAGGATTCATTTCATCAGAAATTTATCAGACAAACTTTATAGAGAACTAGGAAGACTGAGAAAAGTATTTCTGTGAAATAAAATGTTTGCCACAATTTTGTTTTGTGCTTTGGTGTTTAATCAAATCAGATTCCAAGCTTTAACACTGTCATTAATTTGTGTCATTACCACAAAGTATTACAACTGTTCACAGTATCGGCTACATGTAGGTGAGGTACTTAATCTCTGGTCATTCAAAGAATTTAAATGATTTGGATTTATAGAATGTTAATAGGATTAAGCAAACTGTATGTGAGAAGTCTGAATTCTGGACACATACACATAACTACTGTAGCATCGTAAACTTGAACATAATTGTAACAAGTAAAAGTTTTAGGCATTGGAAACCTTGTTGTATAAAAACATTTCTACATAGTTTTTTATGGAGGATTAAAAGTTAAACTTTAACTATACTTACCAAATGATTAATTGCATATAGTTTTTTTAGGGAGGATTATAAATTGAGGTATCAGTATTAAAATCAAAACAGCTAAAATGGGGGTATGATTAAAAAGCAAGCCCTAATACTAGATGTACTTCTGCATGGTCTCCAAAAGTGTTCTATTTTAAGGGTAAATAAAACCAAAATTAAGAGTAAGAAATATTCTTATTTCTTGTTTTTTTTAAAGTTTTTATATCATGCTGTGTTGTAGCATACAGATTGCATAATTTGTGGCATGCATGTTTTACTGATGTCATGACAGTAGAAATTGCAACATTGAGTGTCCCATGTGTGACATCATTTTAATGACTACTGCCTGACTGACAGACAAAACACTACTGTTTAGTGGTGTGAGTGGTTAAACAGGTGACTCCTCCTGGCAGCTTTTGGCCCCTTTTGGGTTGTGTTAATGATTAATCCTCTGTTAGTGTTTGTTTTTTAGTCATATCCCATTTTAGCTCTTTGATTTTACTATCTTTAGATTCGTTTTGAAAGAACTTGAAAAAAAATAGCTTTCAAGTAACATCTTTGTTAAAATGACAGGTTTTGAATCTTTGAGAAATATAGTGAGCTGGCATCTGCACTTAACTTTTTTTTTTTTGTCTAATGCCAGATTTTTTACAGCTTTATTTTATTTTAATGCTTGTCTTTAGATGCTAGCCAGATGAGAGTTTGTAGTTCATACCCTTTTGTATGTGTGGACCCATTAGACCTCTCTTCAACATCTGTAGAGATTTCACCTTGCTGGAGAGAGATTGGGAAAAGACCATGTCTGTGCTGGCAAAAATGGACTGTTGCTGAGACTAAATTCAATCATCTACTGTGCTCAGTAGGTGCAAATGGTAATCTGTTTGGGAATTTTTGTATCTGATATATATAGAGTCCTGCCCATAGTTTTATTGATGATGGACTGATAACATCCATCTAGCAGAGCAGGTTGAAAAGTATTTTTATATTCAGGATATTTCAGATTCCCAGAAACTAAAAGATCTAGCTTTGAGATACTAGAGTAACTTAAGTTTTATTGTTTACTCTTTACAAAGTTTGTAATAATTTACAGTTACATCACTAGAACTATACTTTATGCAGAAATTTTGTGCATTTTATATTTTATTATTGTTGTAAACTATATTTTTAATGCTATAATTTGTTAGCGAAGAGGGTGTAGGATGCCAAGAAAGTTATAGTTTATTCTTGTCACATGGACTGGACATTGAATTATTTTCACCAGATAATATAAAAAAATCCACCAAGGATAGAAACATTACATTATACAAGCGCTTCATCAAAAGAAAATAGTGTAAGAAATCTTGCTTCATTGTCAAACAGCACAGCCCATCACCAACCTGAACAAAGCCCTTCTAGTTCTTCAGCATGATATGTATGTATATCCATTGAACAAATTGCATATCAATTCTTTCATAGTAATTTAAATACTGTATAGGCTAGGCACTTCTTAAAGTTTTGTTAAATTGACTGAATGATATGTCATTAATTCTCTGTTTTTTAATTTTTTTAGTGCAATAAACTTAGCGTATGAAAAATTAGGCAATCAATGACACATATGATATATTTAGATTAAAATGATTGTTTTAATATTTCAAATTCAAAAACAGCTAAAATGAGATAGAAAAAATGCATAATTTAAAAAACGTTTCGTCACTCTTAATGTGGCATCACCAGGTATTCAGCACAATTGTACATGACACTTAAATACACCCAATTGGTGACGTCAAACACGTAACCTTGAGCTAGCGAACTACAAACCTACTCCTCATGTTTTATTTATTAAAGGTTTGTATTCCTTTATTAAAATGGCTTCTTTTATTTTATGCTTATTAATATGAGGTTCTTGACAAATAATTTTTATCAGTTTTATTTTCATTACAATGTTCTGTAACTTTAAAATGTTGGTAGACATGTGATGGAGCATGTCCATGTTCTGCTATTTTAGTACTTAAATTTCTACCAGTTTTTCCCTATATAGAGATTATTACAGTCCGTACATGTTGGTAGACATGTGACGAAGCATGTCTATGTTCTGCTATTCTAGTACTTAATTTCTACCACTCTCCCCTATATAGAGATTACCACAGTTTGTACATTCTGCACTTTAAACTACTTCTTTCTCAAAAGTAGTCAGTTTAATTTTATTTTTAAAGGTTATATTTATATTATTTTTTTCTGGTAAGAAAACATTTTCCTACAACTGGAAGTTTATACATCCTTTCTACTTCTCTCCAAAGCCTTTTTATCGTATTTGATAAATCAGTATCATAAGGAATTACACAATAAACCAAATTATCTGAATGATTTTTATTTTCTTTGTCAATCTATCAGTACTTAAGTATTTTCTAATCACACTAATAAGATAATCATTCCTCTTCACCAGTACATTTTTCAGATAATGTACTTCCTTATCCAGCTCTTCTTTTGAACTGAAATTAGATTTTGCAATAGTTAATAACATTTTTATAATCCCTATTTTTTGAGATTTGTGATGAGCTGTCGACCAGTTCAACTACAAATCAGTATGAGTTTTCTTTCTAAATACTTTCGTTTTAAAACCATTGTTAACCCTACTAACCATGATATTGAGAAGATAATTCACCCTCATTCTGGTTTTGAATTTTAAATTTTGTAGAGTGTGGGATACCTCCAACATTTATATTTGTTTTGATATTTGTCTTTTCCTGGGGTTATTGGTGGTTTGAATTAAAATTATAACATTTAATCTGAGCAGCATAGGGTACAAAATGTTCAAATTTATTTTTAAGCATCTCAGCTGTATGAATTTTAGTTATTTTGTAGTACAGGAGATAAAGACAACAAACAAGATATCTGAGTAATGATAATAAATAGGTTGACTTAGGACTATGGGTTAAGTGATAAGCACATTAATCAGTATGTATCTAATTTAATTCTGATACTTTATGATTTGATTCACATACATGAGCAAGTGTTTGCTAGTATACTTATTTATCATTATCTTTATGAGTATAACTCCTGTATTACAACTTTCCTTGATAATAGTGGTGTGTTCCAAAGCCTTATTGTACAGAAAGACTTCCAAATAAAGGAATTATGCCACCAGATTAGTTTAGCACAAAACATGGTTAGCTCATGTTATTTTCATTCACAAATTAATTGTTGTGTTTCCTTGGCTCATCTACACTGTACTAGGATACCCATTTAATATCAAATTGTACCACTTTTTGCTGCAATGGTATAGATTTCACATGATGTTAGAGGATATCTGATCTTAGCACTTTATCAAGGAGTGTGGTCTATTATTATTCAACAGATCTCACCAGGTTGTTTTTTTTAAGCAATTATGTCATATATTCAAGTTCATACCAAAGATATCTTGTCAAATTCAGATCCAATGATTCTGTCAGTCAGTTAGGATGGTTGAAGCTATTGTCATAATTTTAGAACCATTTTTGAATAATATGAATATGGTAGACTATTGCATTATTGTTTAGGAAAAAATATTTGTCAGTCAGGTTTATTTTATGTTAATGCGTACCATGTTTGGAGTTTTTTTTAAGGAATCATCAGACATGTTCCCTGTCACGAAATATTCCCTACACCATTCTATATTCTTCCTATCATACTCCTTTGGGTTTTGGAAATCTTTCTTTTCTAATGTATTGTCTTGCAGACTACTTATGCTTGGGTTACATTTTTAAACTTTACAAGGCTTAAGGAGTTACCTGACATGTTATATGATTAGCAGTGTTGTTGGGATACACTGATTTGTTTGCTATTTTAAAGATATCTTGAATAATGTGGATGTCGGTGTCTTTTTAAGATACAAATAAAATTGTTAGTCAGTGTATGTAACACTTTAAAAGAACAATTTCTGCTTGGTATAGAAGTTGTCATACAGTATGTAATTGACAATTTAGTGATATAGTGAATATTATGAAAAGGCTCCAGTAGGCTTTGTTAGGTCAGTCTTTTAATCTGAATATCTTCTGAAACAGGTTAAAATTATTGATATTTTCATCATATATATATATATATATGTTTAGGAAGATTTTAATATCCCAACAGTTAATTATTTTGTATGGTCTGACAAAAATGTTATGTAAATACTATCGCATATTAGTGCTACAGTATGTGTAGTTATTTTTCAACTATATTACTGTCTTTTGTGAACTACTTTGTAAATTAATGGCATATAAGTAACTTTTTTTAATAATTTCAATAATTTTTGATTTAATTAATTCATGTTGTGCTAAATAATATATGTATTAGTTGAAATGTTGTCATAATAAAGTTCTGCTCTATTAGGCACTGAGTCACCTCTTGAATGCCATGGAAATGCTGATTGTGAGAAGTTTGGAGAGCAGATATCGTGCAAGCAAGTATTACACTGTGCTTGTCGAGATCTAAATTCTGAACATGCCATAGTGAATAACCCATATAGTAACTGGGTTTCTCTGAACTTGTGTGCACTGAATCTTACACCTCGAAAGGATCAAGGTATGTTTCAATAAAGAAAACAAGGGATTTTAACAATAACAAGATGGATTTTAAAGTGCAGAAAAGGTTTAGACTGTGAAGAGGAAGAAGAAGCTGTTGAGAGTAACAGATGGTAGATTTGTGAGCTGTGAGACAAAAAAATTAGAAATACTTGTAGATAATAATGTTTTTCTGAAGAAGTTAAATATTATCTTAGTACTAGCAAAATATTTAGTAGTTATTTTAGTGTTTTTGTTTTTTTTTATCAGGCACTTAAGTTTTATTACTGTAAGTACAGCTAAGCCTATAGTTACATTAGTCTTAAAATGAGATTGTTAGGCCTAATTTATTGTTTTTATTTAGATAGTTCTTGTAGTAATAGTATTAGCTTATAGGATAGTAAAATTATTAGATAGTAGATTATATATTAAAGAATTATTAGAAGCTCTAACTAAGGAAAAAGGACAGTTTATTTATATTAAGAGTTCAAATTATTGCTTTTAATGTTATTATTTCATAGCTGCTGAGAATTTAAATACATTAGTATATTTTTTAAGTTAGAAATTAGTTAGGTAGAACCAGAGATGTTGGGTATGTCATACTGCTGTGGAACTAGTAAGTAAACAGCATCAGTATTAGTAAATAGGAGGTTTATCTACAGTTTAATCAATTAACTGTGAAATAGCTTACTTTTAGATAAATATACAATTATTGATTAGGTAGATTGGAAAAAATGTTGATATGTTCACATTTGCAGAGGGTAGGGTAAGTTGATATTCAACCTGATGTGAAACATACTTGCATTATAGTTGCAGAACCACCAAAGCCAAATGTATTTTCTTATGAAACCAAATAGGTTTAGGGTTTTACAGCAGTATACATTTTTGTTCCTTTCTGATATGCATATTGGCACATATTGCCCCAAGTATAACCATTATAGATTAGTAGCTGGTAAGGTTTGAAATTAACAGTCACCAATGGTGAGTAAAAATTGCACCAGAGCAACCTGAAACTTATTTGATTGGAGAGTTTGAAACATTTGAAATCTGATATGTTAAAGTCAACATGTGAGTATGTCTGAGTGGTGATCATTATTTGACTGTCATTGGCACTATATCACCTTGTATGCCCAACACTTTGCTATTTCCTTTGATTTTCCTGCTGTAGAGGCAGGTTTGGTTAACATTCAAGTATTTTTGACTGCTTACAGTAAGGAACAAGATGATCCCCAAATTTACATAGTGGGGAAACTCTCTTATTAAGTAAATAATTTTGTTTACATTGATTCAGTATGAGTGTTAGTATAAGATACATGAAAAATCAGGCTGTAAGTGTGATAGGGGGAAGTGGCAAGTCACATTCACATGGTTAAACTTGTAAGTCACATCAAAGCAAGTATTTAAGTTGTAACTGGAAAAAGGTCCCTAAGGAATGACAATGTAAATGTTAGTGAATTCTAATGTTCAAAAATCAAGGTTGGTGTTGCCTAACCCAAAGTTCAGCTCATGTGTGGGAACCAGTTTTGCAGTCTTTGATTCATTCCTTTCTTACTGGAGCAAGATGGTAATGGAGGGAAAGCATCTGGGTTGAAAAACAACTATGATGGCCATTGTCACAGGAATGGCAGCAGAGAACAGCATAGCTGTTAAGTTATTGGTCAAGAATAGACCCAATGAAGCTAGTGGACTGAGAAATTTTTTGGCACTAGAGCATGAGCAAATGTGAAACTTGTAAATATGTTCTTTGTGTTTATTCTTGTGTGCTGAAGCCTCAAAGTTACTCTGACATTGTAATGTATGGAAGCTATGGTGAACATCAATATGCTCAGAAATTCCTGTTTGACAAAGATCTTTCTTACATGGCTGATGCAAAAGACTTTCCTGATGTGTAATGTGGTGGAACCTGTGGAAGAAGGTGCATTTCTTGCAGATGCATCTGACATATGGGATCCTGCTATTTTGGTGGTCAGATTTAGCTCTTAAGATCTCCAAGGGCTGGATAGTCCCTGTCAGCCACAGACTGGCCAGCTGAATCTAAGCCCATCATGGACACATTGACATCAACTGTGGAGAAGCCAGCAAACTCAATACTGCTAGCAGAACCAAACCTTCAGGTGGCTTAATTGCCAAGGAAGTCCTCATCACTTTTATTAATTTCTGTGAAAAAGTCCTGGGAGTCAACAAATATCAGGAGCCACCCATCTTGTGCTCTGTTGTTCAGTGCTTTATCACTTAAAGAAAACACCACTAGATGTTTCTTGAACTGAAGTTGAATTGAGGGTTGGCTGGGCCAGCAGAAACGTTTCAGAGCTGAGGCATAAAGGCCAAACTGTTTCTTGCTGCACAATCTGCAATAGATTCACTTATGTTACCCCGGGGTCGCCACAGTTGCATCTAGAACTTCAAATAATTGTATCTTTTGTGTTAAAGTCCACACAGGTGGGTTCAGTTACTTTAGAACACCTTTTGACAATACAAATTCTTGGCACTTGTCCTTTGACTTTGTCTTGATCTTATGTTGCCCAAAGTATGTTTTGCCTGGTCTATCTGTGAAGACATCTATGTACTGGCACAGTCACTCCTGCAGGTGTTTCTTCTGCTTGCCAGTCAATTCTTCACTTAAGTTGATGTCCTTGTATGTTTCATCTCCATCCAGTGGTCTTAGGCCTAGTAGGTCTTTATCATCTATACCAAAGTCACTGTCTTCTGGTTCTACAACCATGACAGCCACACCTGCCATGTCCATCTGTACCTCATATCTGCACCTGTTAGGTCTTCTATCCTCTCGAAGTACCTTTTCAACATAATGGTGTGGTAGATTTTGGTCATCCTGTCCATTTTCACTTTATAGTACCTTCTGTTGATAACTTCCTGTACCTCAAAAGGACCTTTCCACTGCAGGGAGAGTTTGTTGTTGTCTTCATAGAAGCAGATCTAAGACCTTTTATACGACTTTGGGATTCCATACACTGTTCTGCGAGCTTGATCATCTCATCCACATATTTTGATGCTCTCTCCTTCTGGAACAGTGACATGTCATTTGAGCACATGATCATGAACTGTTCACATATTAGTAGATGTGCCAGTCCCTCCAAACTATTTTCATACTAGGCCATATCAGTTCATCTTGTGAAGTATCGTCGTAGATATGCCACAAACTGATATACAGTTTCTCTAGTGTCAAGTTTGACTTCTCTGAATTTCTGATGAAAACCTTCTTCAGTAAGTTCATAGCATTTCAACAAGGCCACTTTTAACTTGCCATAGTCCATGGCATCTTCTTACATCATGCCTGCATATATTTGTAGGCCTTTTCCTGTGGGAAGTGTGCGGAGACAGACTGCCCAGTCAACTTTGTTCCAGTTTCTGACCTTGGGCAAATCTTTCATATTTCTCCAGGAAAGCATCCATGTCATCTTTCTGTTTATCAAATTTAGGTAGCTTGGATTGGCTGGCCCTGACCCCATTGTCGTTCTTGGGTTCTTCATCTTTCTATTGGGTGAGCTTTGCAATCTCAACTTGTGCTTTTATTCTTGCTATTTCTAGTTTCTCCTTTTCTAAAAGGTTGACAGCTTGTTTACTTTAGTAGTATTTCAGGTGATATTTTGAGGTTATTGTCTCTCCTGTGCTTGAATGAGCATGACCATTAGTGTGGGTAGTGATAGTTGTTGATGAAATCTGACATTACCTGCATTGTAAGGACTGTTGAATTTAAAAAGTCTTGTACATTAATTCAGTTTGATTTAGTAGAAGTGAAAGTCTCATATTTAACAACAGCAAGTACACATACAAACAATTTGTTTGTGAATTAATGTAGATTATTCATTTTGAATTATTATTTTTTTAATCTGTTTCTTTCTCAGAATTATCCAGTAATTTATATCCTGGTCAAATCTGCTTTTATCTTGCAGACCTATTTCATCACTCTAATTTAATTCAGTTCAACCTAAGTATACCACACAGATACTTAGGCTGACAAGACCTAACACAGTGGCCTTGTGGGTGAAACAAAACGTGGTATGATTGAGTTCCAAATTGTTTAACTAAGCCTACCTCATCTTGTACCATGTAAAATATTTATTTTCATATTATACTACAACATTATAATTTAAATTAAATATGAAATGATAAAGCAAGCTTTGAAAAGAATTAGGACTAACTGTTGCAGAAGTTGTTTATAAATATTTTTCTTCTAGTAACATATTACAAAGTTAAGCTTTTATTATTGTGTTTCATTCTCTACAGGAACTGAAAGCATTACTGGCTTACTGTTGAAAAGAACAGATAAAGAACTTTCATTACTTGTTTAGATCACCAACCTGTAACAATTCAAATCTATTGAATAGGCATTTACAATTGCAACTGAAGTTGAGAAACAGTGATTGGCAAAAAATGAATAAACAGAAATTGAGGTGAATGTGGAAAAAAAATATCTGCAGTTTACATGATTTTTGTTCCAAATTTTAGATCTGTTAGTTTCTGATTCTTTACCAGTTTCACCATTTAAGCCATAACTTTTATAGTATTATACTAAATATATAAATAGTGTTTCAGAGAATCTCTTATTTTCTAGAGTTAAGAGATATTGTAGTTTCTTCTAGCAAAATACCCTTACCATTTCAAAGCATTTTATGGTTATACTACTCATGTCTTGAATTTTGTTGTTATAGGCAAATCATGAAGCTAAGGACATGATCCACAATTTAAGTAAAATGTAGAGATATTATAAATAACGTCTAAGTCTTTCGTTTCTTTAAATGACATCCAAAAGAAGAAAAAATATTGTAACTTAGTGAAGAACATTAGGGCTTCATGATGCTTTGTCTTGCACATGTGGTACTAAAACTTTTACTCTTCAGTTTTAACAACTTCTGAAAAACTAATGCCTAACCTGAATAGACCAGCCAAAGATCATATTCTGGATAATGGGGATAGATAATGAGCTCAGGCTTCTGGAATATTTTATTAAATGAATCACCATCCTTGACTCAGATAACTTAAGAATAAAGTTTGTTTGGCATG